CCACCAGCCACTCCTCGGAAGGAAGGTTGGGCAATCCTACTTCCGTAGTGATACTGCTTCGGAAACCCAAGGAGGGGTCGCTATGAGTCGGGGCCGACTCGACGGCACATAACAACAACAACAACTATACACCTGGGAATTCTGATCATGCACATAAACTTATAGGCAAGGGTGGTCTTAAGACGATGTTAGGTGGTAGAAAATCAGAGAATGGTTCTCTTTAAATCCTCTCCCAATCTTGACTGTGTCCAGGAGAATACCACTGCTTGGTGCTAATGTGTGTTTAACACCTCTCTAGCTAACCTTCCTCTCTCTCTCTCTCTTTTTTTTTTTTAAAGTTAACCGAATTTCTTCATTGTGGTAAATACATAGGTAACAAAACATTTTCATCTCTACCTTTATTATTAGGATCTCTGGTGGCAGAGTGCCTAAGGCATTTGACTGCTAACCAGAAGGCTGGTGGTTCAAACCCACCAGCCACTCCTCGGAAGGAAAAATTTAAAACCAAACTCACTGTCATCGAGCAGAATCTGAATCACAGCGACCCCTCCTTGGGTTTCCGAGGTGGTATCACTATGGAAGTAGATTGCCCAGTCTTTCTTCCAAGGAGTGGCTGATGGGTTTGAACCACCAGCCTTCTGGTTAACAGTCAAATGCCTTAGGCACTACACCACCAGAGCTCCCGTTTGGTCCTCAGAAGGAAGACTGGGCAATCTATTTCCGTAGATATACTGCCTCGGAAACCCAACGAGGGGTTGTTTCGACTTGACGGCAATGAGGGAGTGACACCTTTATTATTATCATTATTTTAACAAGGAGAAAGCCAGTCTAGAGTTCAGAATCTCAGGTTGTGTCTGGCTAGAATTTAACCTTTACTTTGCTCTTGGGTTTTTGTTTATATAATTTCATAATTATTTCTACTTATGGCCACTGGACTAGCTTTCCACTCATGGTGATGACACAAACTCCACTTAAAATAAAAATGTTTAATGCAGTGAGTTTGTTATAAATGAGACAAGTGGGTGGAATGCATGGCTGGCTGGTCACTTAGCTCTGGGCTCTGCAGGGGAAGAGCCGCACCTTACCCAAGTAGTGCTTTCCCTCTCTGTCCATAAAACTTTGCCCCTTTCCTGCAAAATCTCCCTATCATAATTATATTTCAAAATCACTTCTCTGTTCCTTATGCTCTTAAAAGTGTCTTGGTCATAGGGCACATCAAGCTCAATTGACACAACGTAGTTCACAAAAATATTGTTTTACATCTTACTTTGGTGAGCTGTGACTGGGGCCTTACAAGCTGGCATGTGGCCATCTAAAAGGCAACTAATGGTCCCTCTTCTTCCGGTGCAAGGAAAAGTGGAGAAAATTGGAGATGCATGCAAACAGTTAGTCCAAAGGACTAATGGACCATGGAAACCTCAGTCTATATGACCCTGAGACCAAAAGAACTAGATGGTGCCCAGCTACCACTGTCAACCACTTGGAAAGGGATCAAAATTGGAGGTCCTGAATAGAGTGGGGGAAAAAAATATAGAACAAAATTAAAAAAACACAAAAAAGACCAGGTTTACTGGTTGGATGGAGACTGGCAAAAACCCTGAGACTATGGGCCTGAGTTACCCTTCAGACTTGGAACCGAACTCACTCCTGTGGCTTAACTCTTAGCCAAACAATAACAGGGCTATGAGCTGAACAACTATACCAGGGAGACTCACTTCTCAGAACATCAACCATGAAAGATGAGGACAGCATTTATTTTAAAAAAAGATGTCTTGATTTGAATGATACATTTTTACAGCTCTCCTACTGCAATTCTCTTTAGCACAGAGCCACATGCATTCAGAGACAATGATGGAGTCCCTATTAATAATCACGCCAGGACAAGAGGCAAAGACCGAGTTTCTCCTGGGGAAACCAGCAGACCTATGCAACAGAGGTCACTCTATTTAAAGCACTTGGCTGCTAACCAAAAGTCTGGTGGTTCAAGCCCACCCAGAGGCACCTTCTGAAAAATCAGTAGAAAACCCTACAGAGCACTGTTGTACTGTGACGTGTGGGGGTCACTTTGAGTTGGAGTTGGCTCGTTGGCCACTGACTTTTTATGTTTCTGGTAATGACGATAATGATCTGTCCCTGAGATGGGATGGTCTGAGTCCCAGGCACAGAGGGTGCTTGCCAGCTCAACTCTAATCAATTGTAATCAGGAGGTCATGAACACTCTCCCCCATCTATTCATCTCTTCACACGATCCCCACCCAAGATCCACAATGAGAGGAAGGCATGCACCAAGGAAATAGCCCTGGGGGGTAGAGTGCCATGAAGGTGTTTTCTGGGAACTGGGTCACTTTGCCCTCTGCAATTGAGGCTCTGAAAAGTTTTAGTCTCCATTTGAGGCTTGTTCACCGAGATGCATGTCCTGACGTTACCTGGAAGCTGTAAAGAACGGCAATGTTGATCTCCACCAGTGCCTGGTCCTTCCACAGGGAAGACGTCTTTCTCATGTCCAAGTTCATCTTCTTAGCTACTTCCTGGAAGGGAAGGAAACACAGACTCATAGGCTGGAGAACCTCTGGACTAAAGAGGGCCAGGGCTAGTGTCATGAATTAATTGACTAATTAATTAATCAACTCATTTACTGATTGAGTTGTTCACTCACAAGACTTAATTACTCATATCCTACCAGCACCAGGAGGAGTCCCTCGTGGTGCAAAGAGTTAATGAGCTGGGCTCCTACCAAAAGGTGGAGATTGGGGTCCATCTCAGAGGTACCACGGAAGAAAGGACTGGTGACTCACTTCCAAAAAATCAGTCATTGACAGCCGTGTGGAGTACGGTTCCACTCTGGTACACAAAGGGTGACTATGAGTCAGAACTCTTTGCTTTCACCAACAGTAGGAACCTAGAGAGACTTGTTGTTGTTGTTGTTATGTGCCATCAAGTCTGCCCCGACTCATAGCAACCCCTCCTTGGGTTTCCGAGGCGGTATCACTACGGAAGTAGATTGCCCAACCTTCCTTCTGAGGAGTGGCTGGTGGGTTTGAATCGCCAGCCTTCTGGTTAGCAGTCAAGTGCCTTAGGCACTATGCTACCAGAGCTTAGCTGGTTCCTTTAATTACTGAGCTCACATTGTAATGGCAGAGGGATAGTTTATTTTGTGACAAGTGCTAATTCCCATGAAGAAAAAAAGACAAGGAGATGGGATGAAGAGGGAGATGGGGGCAGGGCTATCCAGCCAGGGGGGTCAGGGAAGGCCCATCGAGGAGACAATACATAAGGTGGGACCCGAATGATGAGAAGAGCCCTGGTGGTACAGGGGTTAAAGTACTTGGCTACAAACTGAAAGGTCAGCAGTTCAAACCCATCAGCCACTCCGAGGGAGAAAAGACCTGGCCATCTACTCCTGTAAAGATTACAGCCTAGGAAGCCCTATGGGGCAGTTCTACTCTGTCCTTCAGGGTCACTATGAGTTGGAGTTGACTCAAGGGTATACCGCCATCACTGCGAAGAGAAGAAAGAAGATGTTCCTGGGCCTGGGGAGGGAATGCTTGAGGCAGAGAGAACACCAAGTGCCAAGGCTCCCTGATGGGGTTGATCCGGGACTTTGGGTTTACGGGGTAGTGAATGAGGGTGAGCTTGGTGGAAAGGGAGGAAGGGCCAGATCACCTTGGAGGGCAGGACCTTGAAGACTGGGCCAAGGAGTCAGGATTTTATTCCCGATGTGATGGGAGTGTTTGGAGGTGCCAAGCAGAGCCCTGAGTCCAGGGACGACACATCTGATTCCCACGGGCAAAGCTGCCCGCCCCATCTCATCCCACCCCAGAAATGTCTAGGATTTAGAATGTAGATCACCCGTGGGGCCACCTCCTGACTCCAGGTGACAGACAAGGAAATAGAGGCTCAAGGAGGTGTGGAGACTTGCCCAGCATCCACAGAGCCAGTCAGCATCAGAGTTGGAGGCCAGGGAGATGCTTAATTCCAAGACGTGGGGAGCTGCTACTCAACCAGTCAACACCTTTAGCAAAACGACTTGAAAAACACAACTCATGACATGTATGTCCCAGCTAGTGCTGAAGCAGGAGCAGATGTCAGGAGCTGGGAAGACCCCATAGCGAATTCATTAATTATAGCTCTGCTTTTCACTTCCTCTGTCAATTCCAGGCACTCGTGGGAACCCAGGTCTCATTACAGGCTAGAATGTGACATTTTTTTTCAGGTTTTGGTAAATTGCTTCCCAGTCTCAGCTGTCAACATTTGTACCTAATGGATGTTGGAACTTGGGAGGCTGGCGTGGGAGCAGTTCACCTAAGTCACTTGGTGACTATTCTGCTACCCAAATGGTCACCTAGGTCACAGGATGGGAGCAGAGATCAGGAGTAATACAGACTCTGGAATTCACTCTTTGAGGTTGGGATGATAGGTTTGACTTGAGGGTTTTTAGCTGTGACATATCTATAGAAGGCAAACAACACACCGCTTTACATAAATAAATATAAAATGTGTGTTATTTTATAAGCAAAGAAAATGTGTGTAGGTAAGCACACTGCTATTGTCACTTATACAGCAGGATGTTTGCTAGAAGAATAACAATTCATTGCAGAAAAAACAAAAACACCTCTAAGACCTAAAAATTCTCCAAATGCAACCTGAACTACATCTGTGGGGGTTGTCTGAAGAATCTTTTCCTTTCCTGCCCTGCGTTTAATCAGGGCTGCCCACGAAAATCACCTGGGGAGCTTAGAAAATCCTGAAGCCCAGACCCCACTCTGGACCAGATCAGAATCACGGGGAGGGGGACCTGGCATCACATAAAGCTGTGAGGAAATGCCAACGTGCAGCAAGGCTGAGGGCCACTGGTTTCACAGCATAAACCTAATGCCTGGTTCTAAGTTCGAATTCTGCACCTTACTTGCTGTGTAATGTTGGGCCATCAATTAACATCTCTGTGTTTTTCATGACTTCCTTTGAAACAAGGCCAATGGCAGCAGACTGTTGTTAGGAACATTTGCTGACAAAAACACAGCAATCCTGATGCCTTCCCCACAGTTCATCTTCAGGAAGCACTCCGCCCCAGAGCTCCCAGCAGATGAGGATGAGTCAGAGAGAGGGGGAGGGAGGGCAGGAATCAGACCCTCCAAGGAGAAATGCTTACGGTGGAGAACTACTGCTAACCCTGCCCTCTGACAAGAACAATAAAAACATTTCAGAAAAGAGACTCAGAAAGCCCCAAGTCCATGGGCATTCTCAACCCCTTGTAACAAGGTTTAATATTGAGCGTCAGTGTAGCTAACTGGTTATAGACTACTAAACCTGACCGGGTTTGCATTCCAGCTCTGCCAGTGCCTAGCTGTGTCACCTTGAGTTTCTCACTTCATTTCTCCTAAAGGCTCCAGTTTACTCATCTGTAACAGGGGGCTTCTCACAGTACCTACCTTTCGGTTGTGGGGAGGATTAATTGAGAAGGTAACATACCCAAAGTACTTCCCACAGCACCTAGTACTCACAGACCCATTACATAATAATCATTTGCCATGGAGTCCATTCCAACCACGTGAGTGTTTACTACAGGCAGTCCCTGGATGATGAACGACTTCCATTCCTAAGTCTGTCCATAAGTTGAAATCGGATGTAAGTCGGAACAGTTAGGTACGGTTCATATCTGATACCACTTAGTCAAGTGTCTGTCTTAGTCTTAAAGAAACACTTCCAGATATACTAAAACATCTTTAACATGATAATACTGTAATAATAATAGTCACGTTTTGATGTGCATTGCAAATCAGAACCCCTTTCTTATTACTAACCATTGCATGTACCTCAAATTTTTAATATAATAGATTTCCAAGGGTTGGTCCATAACCTTGGGTTGCATGTAAATCAGATGTTTGTAACCAAAGAACTGCCCATATTGGTAATCACTGTTACTGAAATGAATTTCTCTGGGATTGCCAGAAGGTGAGGCAGTGCCTAAGGCATTTGACTGCTAACCAGAAGATTGGCAGTTCAAACCCACCAGCCACTGTGTGAAAAGATGACTGGGTCATCTACTTCCATAAAGATTTACCACCTTGAAAACCATTTGTGTCGCTATGAGTAGGAATCAATTTGATGGCAATGAGTTTGGTGTTTGGTTGGTTGAAAGATCACAGCCAATGACAATCCTATGAAGCAAGGTTCTACTCTCTGATACACAATGTCACCATGAGTTGGATGGCTACTGGTTTGAATTTTTTTTTAGGTTTTCTCCTGTGGCGTCTTTGGGTGGTAGAAACAGTTACTGCATGTGGCTGCTACCTAAAAGGTTGGGGGTTCAAACTTCCCCAGAGGCATCACAAAAGAAAGACATGATGATCTTCTTCCAAAAAAAAAAAAAAGTCACTGAAAGGGCCCCCGCGCCCTATTCCCTCCCAACCCTTCCAGTTTCCAAGCTCTAGGGCTTGGCTGTGGGGAAGGACCTCCTGGGAACACCCCTGCCCTTTGTCCTGTGCTGCCCCCTCGTGGCGACCAGGGACCGCACCTCCAGAATGTTGTAGCGTGAACTGTCACAGTAGTCACGGACGCCAATCTCTGTGCCCATGTACCAGCCGCTGAAGGGGCAGGCACTGAACTCCAGGCCACCAATCTCCAGAAGCATGTTAGACACAGCAGGGACACCGTACCACTTCAGCCCCAGGTCCTTGAACCACTCCAATCTGCAGAGAGCAACACAGCCACTGTATCCTTCTTCCCATGATGGTTTTGGTCATCATGGATTTGTTTATATCAGTTTTGATTTTTTTAAAAAATTCATTAAAATATTATTTATCTCCATTCCTGAATTACTTGACACTCCCTTAAATGTTGTGCTCAAAGCCAGTACACCCCACTACGGACCTCCTTAGCTCTCAGAGCGCTCACGCTACTGGCGCTGCTGGTTCCAGCCCCTCAAAGTGCTTTCCTGGCTCCAAATTCCTCCTGACCTGGGTCCATACTTCGTCATGAAGGGTTTTAAACAGTTCTATTTGCAACTGGCACCCACGAAGAGACAGGGATGTCTCTGTCCTCCCAACCGTTGGCTGGAAAAGGGCACGGACTTGTTGATTGCTTAAGAAGGGGGTGAGGCGGGATCATGAGTCAGAAAGATGCGGTTCCCATGCTGATCTAGGAGGACTTATTGAATCTCTTGGAAGCCCATGCAGCCCAGGCCCTGGAACGAGGAACCAAGATTCCTTTCAGCCTCTATCTGGGTTGGGGAGAGATGTAGGGGCACGAGGACAGGCGAGTCCACCCTGACCCCCTCTCAGCCCATCTTACCTGGGATGCCTGATGGGCACCTCCAGCACCAGCTCTGGAGGAATCTGGAAGATCTCAGGGTCATTGCCATTGGCCTGGAGCAAGAGGGGCAGGACGTCGAAGCGGCCTCTTGGGGGCTTCCAGCCTTGCTGTATGCAGATCTGCAACCAGACCCACCGGGTCACGCCTGGCCAGGCAGACCCTCTAGATACCATGACTGTATGTGGGGGGGGGGGGCAAAGATCCCACAGCAAACCCAGTGGCAGCCCCATTATCTGGAGGCTCTGGGGCCACATGGCCTTCCTATATAAAGTGCTCCCTGATGTCACTGCATAAATAAGGTCACTCCTTGTGGCCCATGGGGCAGAGCGCAAACCTTCCTATAGCACTGTCCTTTATGTGTTCTGGGTCTGTCTTGCCACTGGGCAAGGGCTGCATCTGCCTAATTGTTATATCTTTGGTCCCCTTGTGCACATGGCAGGGCCACTACAGGAGCCTATTCTGTAAATATTTGCTTTGGGGCTCATGAGAGGAATATCAACTGAATTTGATGAGGAGGATGTATTAGAATTAATGTGTAATATGCATTCAATCAGAGCAACACTGTCCAAGAGAAATGTATTATCAGCCCCATGAGTAATTTAAATATTTCTAGTAGTCACATTTTAACAAAACGTAAAAATACTTAATAATTTAATAACATATTTAATGTTAATTTATTAATGATAAGTTACTAAAGTATTAATATTTTGACATATAGTTAACATTAAAATTAAATATATACCTATTATTCTAATAAATAGAGCCATGGTGGTGCAGTGGTTAAAGCACTTGGCTGCTAACTGGAAGGCCAGTGGTTTGAACCCAGCAGCCGGTTTGTGGGAGAAAGATGTGGCAGTGTGTTTCCATGAAGATTTTCAAAGCCTTGGAAACCCTAAGGGGCAGTTCTTCTCTATCCTATAGCACTGCTGAGTTGAAATTGACTTGACAGCCATGGGTTTTGGTTTGGAACCTAATAAATATTATTGAATGTATGTAAAATATAACACACATGTTATAATGTTCACATAATTACATTATACACTAATACGTTAACACTACTTTATTAATGATGAATACTATTATTAATATATTTTAATAATATATTTAAATAAAATATATATTTATTGACACAATAAAGATACACTGAATATGTGTAATATAGCACATATATTAGCAATATAGTATTAACTATATTGTCTAAAATATAATAAATTAATAAATTATCAAAATACATAATCAATGTTAATATATTTTTAAAAATCTTCAACATTACTAATTTATAGGAGCCCTGATAGCACAGTGGTTAAAGTGCTAGGCCGCTAACCAGAAGGTTGGTGGTTCCATCCCACCAGCTGGTCCATAGGAGAAAGATGAGGCAGTCTGCTCCCATGAAGATCACAGCCTTGGAAACTCTATGGCACAGTTCTACTCCATACTACTGGGTCGCTGAGTCAGACGCGACTCGATGGCAATGGGTTTTATAATGTTGTTATGTGCCATTGAGTCGGACCTGACTCATTGTGACCCCTCCTTGGGTTTCCGAGGCAGTATCATTATGGAAGTAGATTGCCCACCCTTCCTTCCAAGGAGTGGCTGGTAGGTTTGAACCGCCAGACTTCTGGTTAGCAGTCAAGTGCCTTAGGCACTATGCCAGCAGAGCTCCTACTACACCACCAGAGCTCCTGGGTTTTATAATACATATATAAAAACAATTCACTGCCGTGGAGTCGGATCCGACTCATAACAACCCCTCCTTGGGTTTCCAATGCAGTATCATTACAGTCTTCCTTTCAAGGAGTGGCTGGTGGGTTTGAACCGCCAGCCATCTGGTTAGCAGTCAAATGCCTTAGGCACTATTCTCCTATACATACCAATACAGTCACAACGTTATTTAAACATGTACATAATCGATATAAGATTACTTATGATGTATTTTACATTCTTTCTTTCTTTTTTTTTGGTAGTCTTTGAGATTTGATATGTACTTTGGATTTACAGCCCACCTCATTTTGGACTTACCCCATTTCAATTGCTCGATTAGC